ATCCTCTGAGTGCCCTGCTGACTGGTTTTTTTTTTTTTAAAGATTTATTTATTTATATTGGTAAGGCAGATCCACAGAAAGTAGGTGAGAAAGGAAGATCTGCTATCCACTGATTCATTCCCTGGATCGATCCAAAGCTAGGAGTTTCCTCTGGGTCTCCCAAGAAGGTGCAGGGTCCCAAGGCTTTGGGTCATCCTCCCCTGCTTTCCCAGACCACAAACAGGGAGCTGGATGAGAAGTGGAACAGCTGGGACACAAACAGGCCCCCACACAGGATCCCAGTGCTTGAAGGTGGAGGACCAGCCAATTGAGCCACTTGGCAGGGCCCCCTGCTGATTTTTTAACCAGCCTAGATTATGTAAGACTCTGGGCCAGTAACTTGAGGGCCTGGGCAATGACTTATCCATATGTATATGTGCAGTCTGGTATACTGTAGGTGCCTAATAAGAGTTTGTAGAATGCACGCATCGTTCTCTTAGGATGTGTACTTGACCTTGCTGCCCCCTGAGGCAAACTTTGCTGTGTCCCTCCTCCCCATAGTGGTGTCTTGTAGCCAAGATAGCAATTGTGCTGGGTGATCCGGTCACTGGAATTTCTCTCTGAAGACTCAGGACACAGGGACAGAGCAGAGGGACAAAGAAAAGTCCTGGCCCACAGGGCAGGTACAGCTTTAAGATGAAGGGGGCTTACAAAAATGGACACTTATGGGGCCACTGTTATAGCACAGCATGTTGAGCCACCGCCTGCGATGCTAGCATCCCATATGAGCAAACAAAAGAGTCCTGGGTCCTCTAGTTCTGATCCAGCTCCCTGCTAATGCACCTGGGAGGGCAGCAGAAGACGGCCCAAGTGCTTGGGTCTTGCACTCACATGGGAGACCTGCATGAAGTTCCTGGCTCCTGACTTCAGCGTAACCCAGAGCTGACTGTTGTAACTATTTGGGTAGTAAAATTTTGGATAGATGAATCAATCTCTCTCTCTTTCTCTCTCCCCTCTCTTCCTACCTCTCTAACCCTGCCTTTGAAATAAATAAATAAATCTTCAAAAATTTAAGATTTATTTTTTTATTGGAAAGGCGGATATACAGAGAGGAGAGACAGAGAGGAAGATCTTCCGTCCGATGATTCACTCCCCAAGTGAGCGCATTGGCCCATGCTATGCCGATCCGAAACCAGGAGCCTCTTCCGGGTCTCCCACGTGGGTGCAGGATCCCAAAGCCTTGGGCCGTCCTCGACTGCTTTCCCAAGCCACTGGCAGGGAGCTGGAAGGGAAGCGGGGCTGCTGGGATTGGAACTGGCACCCATATGGGATCCCGGGCGTGCAAGGCGAGGACCTTAACCACTTGCGCCACCGCGCCGGGCCCAAATCTTCAAAAATTTAAATAAACAGGGGTTTATGGTGCCATGGCTCATCATGGCTAATCTTCCACCTCCAAGTGCCGGCATCCCATATGGGCACCAGTTCATGTTCTGGCTGCTTGACTTTCAATCCGGCTCCCTGTTTATGGCCTGAGAAAGCAGTGAAGGATAGCTTAGGTCCTTGGGACCCTCCACTCATGTGGGAACCCAGGAAGAAGCTCCTGGCTTCAGACCAGCTCAGCACTGGCTTGTGTGGCCATGTGGGAAGTGAAGCAGTGGATAGAAGATCTTTCTCTGTGTCTCTCCCTCTCTCTGTAAATCTACCTTTCCGACAGAAAGAAATAAAGATTTAAAAATTATTTTAAAAAATGAATGGGACACTTTGCTGAGAACGTCAGGGACGGTGACGAAGGCTGGGTGATGCACTTTCAGGCCAAGCCACGCAACACGGATGAGGATCGGGCAGTTTGTCCATGTGCAGCCTACAACCCGGAAGGGAAGGAAAGCCCTTTCCTTGAAGAGATGCTCCCTCAGCTTGTGAGTGGTGTGTGTGTGTGGGGTGTGTGTGTGTGTGTGTGTGTGTGTGTGTGTGTGTGACATAACCTCCCCGACCCCCTGTCCTACCAAGTCTTCTTCCCCACCTGCATCTGAGCCCCAAGGCCCCATCCTTGGAAAGCAGGTGATGCTGTAGGGTTTCAGAACGCACAGGACCAGGGGACTGTGGCACGAATAGGCAACTCCATGGCGAGTTGTCTGTCTCCTCTAGGGCTCATCAGGCACCACTCTGGATTGTAGTGAAAGTCCAGATTCCAACGATTACGGGAGCTGTTCTTCCATTGCTTCCTACATGTCAGAGACTATGCTACACATTTCCCATAGAGTACCATACACAATTCTCACGTTTCCGGAACAGGAAGCCATCTCAGCTCCATTTTACAGAAGAGTGAATGGAGGCTTTGGGAGGTAAAACACATCACCCCAAGTCCAATGCTGTTGGAGATGGAATTTGGTCTGTAAACGCAGCAGTCTGGTCTTTGGCCTGCGGCTGACCTTGCTGTCTGGGAGACAAGCCATTGCAGCTTTCTGCTGGGATACTATTTTTTAAAAGTATGTCTGTGGGGACCAAGCTCAGTAGCCTAGCAGCTAAAGCCCCCTCCTTGCAAGTGCCGAGATCCCATTTGGGCACCAGTTCTAATCCGACAACTCCGCTTCCCATCCAGCTCCCTGCTTGTGGCCCAGGAAAGCAATCGAGGAAAGCCCAAAACCTTGAGACCCTACACCCACGTGGAAGACCTGGCCTTCTGGCTTCGGATCGGTTCAGCTCCGGCCATTACAGCTGCTTGGAGAGTGAATCATCAGATGGAAGATCTTCCTCTCTGTCTCTCCTCCTCTCTGTATATCTTTCCAATAAAAAAACATAAATCTTTCAAAAAATCTTTGTTTTTGATTTGAAAGGCAGAGTTACAAAGAGAGAAGCAGAGACCTTCTATCTGCTGCTTCATACCCCACATGACCTCAATGGCCTAAGTTGGGTTGGTTGGAAGGCAGGAGCTTCTTCCCGGTCTCCCACATGGATGCAGGGACCCAAGGAATTGGACTACTCTCTGTTGCTTTCCCAGACACATTAATAGGGAGCTGGGTCAGTCAGGACTTCACTGGCGCCCTGTGGGATGTCGGTCCCCAGGATATCTGTTATATTGTCGCCACAGTGGTCACACTCACTTAGCTGGACACAAAGGACAGCTCCCTGCCCCTTGGCCTCAGCGATGTGCCCTTGCCAACCACAGAGTTTGGCAATGAGATCAGTTACTGTCCCACCAGCACTCGTGCCTACCCAGAGCCAGATCCTTCGTGAACATAATCAAAGGTTTCTTAAACTCAGAGTGGATCACAGTGGGTTCTGATCCCCTGACTGGCAGTGTCCTCCTAAGATGACAGAGAGGGGACCCAGGGACACAGACGTGCAGAACAGGCAGGCACAAGAACACCCAAGGGTTGTGGGAACCAGCAGAAGCTAGAAGAGGCAGGCGGGCGAGCAGGAGAGAGCAGGGCCCTGCCGCCGCTACCGGCTCAAATTTCCAGCCTTGGAACTATATAACATTTCTGTTATTTTAAGCCACCCGGTTCGTCGGTCGGTGGGACTCAGTGAGGCAGCCCTGGGAAACTGGCGAGCCGGTGCAGCTTTGGAGCGAGGCTGCCCCCAGAGACCAGCTGGAGGGACAGGAGGGGGCGGAGCCTCAGGGTGCCGGGCAGCAGGGGCAGTGGAGTAAAAATAAGGTGTTTATTCATGCAGCCCCCCGCCACTCAGTGGAGGGTGCCTGGGCATGACCCTGCACGTGCTTGCAAGGGGCCTCGGCATGTGCCTGAGGTCTTGTTTTTCTCGTGCTTCAGGTGGACAACAACTTAAAGGGCGAGGGCACACGGAGACACTGGGCTTGGCCAGGCTTGGCCAGGCTAAAACCTGGCCAAGGCTGCCCGTAACAGAAGCGCAGCACACAGACCCAGAGCTGGCTGGCCGGCTGGCTGGGGAGGCCCTGGGCTTTTGAGTTCTCCGTTTCTGTCTCCAGCTGGCGGAAGTGAACTCTTCCTCTGCTGACCTTCGATAAGCATCTTTTCCTAAATCTGCAAGTGACATGCATGTGGTGCCTAATTGGAAATAACTCAGATGTTTAAGGGAAAAGACTGATTCCTGGCAGTAACTACTGATACTATTGGGTAATATCCTTCCAGGCTTTTTTCTCTTTTTTTTTTCTTTTTGTTCCCCCCCTCCCACCCCATGAAAATATCACCAGACTGGAATAACATTAAAGCTGTTATGTAATTTGCTTCTTGGGGGAACGCTAGGTCACCCCGTCAGTGATTTTTTTTTTTTTTTGCAAACGTGATTTTAAATCATTGCACGTGATTTTAAAATCACTAAATAGTGCTCCGGTCCCACAGGCCGCTCCTAATGGAAGGGTCTGCTGTGAGAGCCTGCTTGCAGCACACATAGGTAAACAGGTACGTTGACATAAACAGGCTCAGAGGGGTCTTGGCAGCCAGACAGCGACCTCCTGGGCTTCCCAAGACCCGGAGGAGGACAGAGCCCAGGCAGGCCCCAGACTGGGCTGCAGCACTGAAAAAAAAAAAAAAAAAATCCTGGCCGTGTTGTTGGAAGCAGCGTGCACGCCGGACTGCGGGGGGGTAGGGTCAGGAGCCTGCAGCGGGGACCCCGGTGGCAAGCCACGGGGGGTCTGGGGTGCGGGGGTCGGTGTTCCGGCTCAGCGGCGGCGGGGGCGCACGGTCGCTCCTGCTTCTCGCCAGGCTCGGCTCGGGGCGGGGATTGGTGCCGATAAGGTAACCCGGCGGCTGCGTGGGGGGCAGGTTGCCAGGAGCGGGGCGGAGGCTTTGCACGTCCGGCTCCGGCCTCCTCCTCCTCCTCCCGCCGCCGCCCGGCCCGCGCGCGAACCCCGCCCACCCCTCTGGCCGGGGACCCTCCCCTTTAAGGCGGGCGCCCGCGCGCACCTCGGGCCCCGCCCTTCGGGGGCGCGCGCGAACGGCCGCGGCGCCGGCTCGACCGGGAGCGCACGTGCCGGCGCCGGGCGGAGGAGACGGAGGGAGGAGGGGAGGCGCCGGGGGCGCGCGCGCGCGCTGGGCGCTGCTGGGCTGCGGCGGCGGCGGCGGTTACTATGGCGGAGTCGGCCGGAGCCTCCTCCTTCTTCCCCTTCGTCGTCCTCCTGCTCGCCGGCAGCGGCGGGTCCGGGCCCCGGGGGATCCAGGGTGAGTCCCGGGGTGGGGGCGGCGGCTGGGATGGAGAGGGGGGCCGGGCGAGGGCGAGGCCTTTGGAGCTGCGGCCGCGGTTCCACGGCGCGCCCCCCTTCTCCCCACGCGCACAATATGGCCGGGCGGGCGGGGGGCGCGAGGTGTCCGGGGTGACCCGGTCCGTCAAGCCTCTCCTGATCTCCGAGGCGCGGCCGCTTCGCCACCGCCGCCGGCGCGGCCGAGCTCGACCGGGCCCCGGGGACCCGAGCTCTCTTCTCCCTTCCAGGAGGAGCTGGAGCCGAGCGAGCAAGCGAGCAATCTCTCGGTGGTGGTGGGGGGGTCGCGCCCCCCGGCACTGTCCCCCACCCCCTACTGCCCTCAGGTTCCGCGCTGGGGACCCCCGCCGGGCTGGCTGGCTGGCCGGCGTCTGCGAGCCTGGGGGCAGCGCCGCGGTTTCTGCCTTTCGGCTTGTCCAGGGGCTGGGGACAGTGGCCCCTTGGCTCCAAGATGCTCCTGGTGGTGGTCGAGGAGGGGGCACCTCTTCTCCCGCCAAGATTGTGGGGTTCAGGCCGTGGCGGGATGTATGGTGCGGGTAGTGGGGATGGTCTTGGTTTCTCCAAGGGACCCTGGTGGGAAGGGTCCTCGCGCGTTGCAGGTTGGAGGGGAGAGGTCTTCCACCTTTCTTTCTGCTCGTGCAACTCGGGGCGGTGGTGGGGGGTGCGGAAGGGAGCTTGTCCCCTCGCCCTCCTTGATGCTCCGGGTGAGGGAGCCACACGTTTGCCCAAGCCTAGCCCCAACACCCCCCTTCCATCATGCCCTATGGACGCTGTTGGGAGCAAGTGGGAGGCGCTGGGCCCTACACCTTCCCGCGGCAGCCGGGGCCCCTGGCTCCTCGGAGGCTGGGTCTGTTTGCACTCCGCCTCCCCCACCTCACCCTACCCCACCCCACCCCAGGGGGCCCATTCAGCGGCTGGCTGTGGCGGTCGCCTTTCAGGTGAAACCCTAGAACCTGCCCGCCTCCCCCGCCCCACCCCCACGGCCATCTCCCCAGCCCTGGTCACTATTTTGCCTTTCCATTCCCTCTCCCTCTTGCCAGTGTGTCCACCAGCCGCCGGCCCCCCTCCACCACCCCACAGCCCGCGCGGCGCCTGCTACCAGCCCCAGCCTGCCCGCCGGTGGAGGTTGGAGGTGGGCTCCTCGTACCGGGTGGGCGTGTTGTTGACAGGGCTTTTGGAAGGTGGGGTGCCTTCCTAAAGGTGGCATTGGGGTGGCCCATTAAGGTTATATTTGGCAGTTGGTTTACTGACCTGCCGATGGACATGGGAGAGAGCCCCCGTGGGGCGGGGGAGGGGGAGACCCTTAGCCTTACAGCTCTGTGCGGAGGGGGCCTGGCTGGGCTGGGGTGGGGAGACACCTCAGGTGACCAACCGTGTCAGGTGGCTGCAGGCTTCTGAAGTGTATCACTGCACCTCACTCTGGCGCCTCGAAAAAAACAAAACAAGTTGGTGTTCCCTGGGCTTTGATGTTTGCTGCTGGGGGTGTGGGCTGTGTGCAGCCGGGTCTTTGTTCACTGGCTAATGCTGCTGCCAGTAGTAAGCTCCTCGTGTGTTCCTGGGGTGCAGGTAACCACCACAGCTTGGAAGGGGGAGCACCTGATAAACAGCGTGAAGGTTGGGGTGCCCGTCTGGGGGTGGTCCCAGTTGGATCTGTGCTGAATTGCGACGTGCTGGGTCTTTCCCCTTGAGGCTGTGTGTGGAAGGTGTGACCTGGTGTTTTCCTAGTGGCTGGGGGAGGTGAGGAGGCCTGCACCCCCCAGGTTTGCCTGGCATTTGCTCTGTGTAGGAATTCTCCTGCCCATCACACATCCGAGATTTTTTTTTCTTCATGGTTTCCTTGCTGATGTGACAGAGTGGCTGTGGGGTGCTCCTTATTGCTGCTCTCAGCATTTAATTTGATAACCCCACTGGCCCTGGAAGGGGCAGAGATTTTGTTTATTTATTATTATGTCCCATACCTTCCTATAATGGATGTTTGCTGAGGGGTGAGGGTGAGTGGACGTTAGAGGGAATTCCTTTCTTTATTTTTGGCAAATTGGAAATGAGGTTGTGTGTCCAGCAAACATTGTTGAAGGCCTTTAAGCTTCTTGGCCAGACACTACAGTGTTTTCCGGGATGTGTGGAGCTGCCAGCAGTGCAGGCTACGGAGACCACTGTTGCAAAAGGCAGAGTTAGAAGTCACTTCTGGGAAAGAGGAGAGGCTGTGGTAGACCAAAAGCTGATTCCCAATTTCCCACACCCCGGCACCCCCTGGCTTGTGTTAACATGGAGCTCCCCTCCAAGGTCTGGAGAAGTGAGCAAGCCAGACGGCTCTGATGCCGGCTCCTTGCACCTGGGAGAAGGGGCAGTGAAAGGAGAGAGGATCCTGTTCCTTAATGAATTACCTGGGACTTCGAAAGGTTACAAATAGTATCCATCTGATGCTTGTACCACCTGGGAAGAGCTTGGGCTTTGCAATGTTTACATGAGTAATTAAAAAAAAAAGTGACATTGAGTTGGTAGCTGGAGGACGTGAGTTTGGCGTGTTAGAACAGAAGCAAGAAGGAAAGACCTGGTTGGAGGTTGTGTGTGAGTTTCAGCTTGGGAACCGGTCTGGTGGTTTTGTGGAGTGGACTTGGATGGGAAGTGCGGAGTGCTGTGCGGGAAGAGGGACCCGGGGATTAGTTTTGTTAAGACAGCTCCTGGAGCAAATGTGATTTCAAACAAACAAACAAACAAACTGAAAATGGCCAGTCACTCCGTGAAAGGTTATAGTTATAGTCAGTGGAGAAAGAGCCGGCTGCCTTGGCTCCCTTCCATCCAGGTGGTCCTTGGTCCTGCTATCCTGCACCTGCCTCAGTTGTCCCATGGTAAAGCAAGGAAGTACTCCGGGTGGCTCTTGCTGGGGCCTCCCTGGAGCCACTGGCTAACTGATAGCCAGTTGGCGGAGGTATTTTTAGACACAGTCACTGACTAAAGCGAATAAGTGCTGTTGGGTTACTTTTTATCTTACAGGGCAGAGTAACGTGCACTGTGATTGATAGAAGTACCATAAGGCAGTGTGGGGTTCATTTCTCCTCTTGTTCTGTTGCTTTCTTTGTAGTCTTGGTTCAGATTGCCTCAAGTTCGGATCTGCCCCTGGGCAGGCTTTTCCACCCTCCTCTCGTCATGCTTCCCAACCCCAAATCCCCCCTCTGCACTGGGCAGGCTACCTGTGCTAATCAGAGCCAGTCCGGAGGGAGTGACCTGCTTTAAGGCCTTAATGGTTTGGCAACATTTTAACTCATACGCAACCCAAGGCATGTTTATGGCACTATGTAAATGTTACATAAGAACATGGAGGCCGAGAGAGAGAGGCGGCCCCAAGAGCCAACCCAGGCAGGTGGACAATATGTGGCTGCACCTCGAAGGGCCTTGGGAAGCCACCACCAGCCACCACCGCCGCGCTTGGCAACGGCAGGGGAGGAAGCCACTCTTGGGTCTCGGGTCTCAGTTCCTGCAGCAGCCTTTGTGCAGGCTGGTGCCTTTGCAGGTGGACTGCTGCATTTATAAATAGGTTTATTCTACACCGGTGAGCTAATTGTAACCTTGCTCCCAAAATATGAATCAGTCAGTGAGCAGGAGGAGACGCGGAGACGCCGCCCGCCACCGCTGCCACTCCCAGCGTGTCCTGTGCGAGCCTGCTTGTTGCGTTGGGAGCGTGAGTTGAATTACATTTGCAGGCTGTTCCCACAGGCAGCCGGGGCGCGGGGCGTGCAGGTGGAGCGGCCTTCTCAGGTCGCTGGCGTCCCAGACCTCTATGGTTTCAGAGGCTCAGCTAGACCCTTGAAGCGAGTTTTCTTTTGGGTTTGTTTGTTTGTTTGTTTTTGACACCTTTATTGCGTACACTTGTGTGTGTGTGTGTGTGTGTGTGTTGCCTGAGCAGAAGTGAACATTAGTTATGAAACTGCCTCTCTGGCTTGAGTTCTTGCGTTGTCTGTTGCAGTAGTTGATGTCAGAGGGCTCTATCTCACTTCCTTCTGTTTTTATGAAGAGAAAGTCCCCTTTGTCATCTGTCCTTCTGGTGTGGGACGTATAGCCGTGCTGGAATCTCCTCACGCCTCACACACAGGCCCCTCTTTGGGGCGGGGTGGAGCACCTGGGCCCTGGACTCCTGCGGGTTTTCAGTCATCTCTGCCCCAGGCTGCTTGCTGCTTCCCGCCGCTGTCCTCCACTGGCCTCTTGGTCCTGGATGCCCAGCCGGGTGCCTCACTCCTTCTTCACTGTCTGGGTGCCAGGGGGGAGTCAGCTGAGAAGTTTCCACACCACCCCGTCCTGTGGTCTCACCTGCCCTCTGGGTTTGGGCCACTCCAGTTACATTTGTAGGTTTCCTGTCTTTTCCACCTGCTCTCAAGGCTACGTTTGTCTTGCTAAATATTTTGCGTTCTAGTGAAAGAAATTGCTGTTCCCTGTGAAGTGTCTCACAACCCCTAATGTTTATACACACTGGCACATAGGAACGAACTCTCCTCGTTCTTTGGGTCACCTGCGTGTGTCCCCGGAGCAACTTTTGACAGAGGAAAAGAAAAGAATGAGCTGAATAAAAGTCCCCAGGTCTCTGCTGTTACAGAGCTGACTGACAACTACAGCGGCTCAGTTGGAAATGAGTGAGGAAACAGAATTATCAGGCACAAAGTAGAGCAGGGGGCTGTGTCAGAGCATGCTCCGGCCATGGAAGGGGGCTGGTCTCACTCGGAAGCAGCTGCTGGTGCCCAAACTGTTACTGCCAGGGAAGGTGCAGGGTCGGCATCTCCAGCACGTGACCCATGCCCAGCCTTGCCTTTGGAGCTCGTTTAAAGACACCTGCTTGACACATTCCTGACCCATCAGCTTACAGCGGACCCCCACCACCACCGTGGGTAAACGCAAGCCTGAACCGAGGATGTCCCAGCAGGTGTGTGTTCCATGTAAGGGGCTTCCTCAGGAAGGTGGGCAGCTCTGATG